ACTTTCAAATTCAGGCTATTGTAATGCAGAGATCACAAAGAATCTGTTAAAGTTTTTAAGACTAAATATACCTTTAGGAATGTCTCTCTTTTTTAAGGATTCAGTGTTTTGCCTTATACCTTTTATCAGACTCCAAATATAAGCAGTACTACAAACAGCTAAGGGTTCAACACCTGAAGCCATCTAGCAATAGTACTCTCCGGGAGCCATAGACTGTGAATCCCAACTTCCCCAAACAGCACATCATGTCCGCCACATGGGCTTTCACAGTGTTTGCAATCCATACGTTGAAAAAGGACAGATTAGGCTGAGTGAAAATGGGAAAAATAATGGCAGTTCACCAGAGGCATAACAGTACAAAACACCTCTCAGAGTTCATCAAGATAATGATCAATTTGGGATAGAGAAAGGAACTAATGCACCTCAACAATATTCAGTAAAATGAATACAATTCCTGTCCCCCAAAAATGTAATGTTCCAAAATCACTTAATGTGATTGGCAGCATCAAATATAGCAAAATGGATTTCTATTTCAAGACACAGTTGGTTCTTTTCCAAGAACACGGGTTCAAAGTGCTCCTCCTGTGCACCAGATGTCTACCCCCAGGCTCTGAAACACCTACCAAACCCACAAGGGGACCTACTGGCTTCCCACTGCCTTGATGATGTGGTTTGGAAGATATCTGAAAAATGAAAGAATTTTGAAAAACCTGTTGTTTATTCAATTATTTACCCTGAAGTCAAACTGACACAGCTAAACTCAAACGCTTTGGAAAAGAAAACTGCAACTCACACTACAAAATAAGCAAGTTAAAATGATTTCTATAAAAAGTGAAGGAGTCTTGTGGATTGAAAGCTTAACACTGAAATACACAGGATTCTTTTACTTCTACATATGTTAAAACAGTAAACACTTCTGGCTTCACATGCAAAATGTGGTGTGTCTGGGTAACTGCTGGTCAGCTCATGAAATTCTGAAGTCATCTTATCACCCATAGGTGCAAGATTTTGAGTAATATCATTTTTAAATGTTAAAGAAAAAGGACCTACACATAAATCAAAGTAAAGAATCAATAAAGAGGTGAAGTTGTTTCTTAGTTTTCATTTACAAATTCTAATATGAATATTATCACATTTAAGATCCAAAGTGTACTAAAACGTGAGATTTGGCTAGATTCTTTTTTAACTCTCAGGCACTTCTGTCTCAAAAGAATAAGGATAAAAAAACAGTAGCATGAAACACTTTCTTTCCTGGAACCCTAGTAATAAAACTGTATTATGAGACACCCTGGAAGAGAATAGATAAGGCTTAGAACTTTCATCTTGCACTATAATTGAAATGAAATACTATGTGTTTACTTGTATATGTATGTACACCAGACAGAAAAATAGTATCTACCAGTAAGGCAGCATGGTATGGTGGTACAGAGCATAGGTTCTAAAGTCAGACAATATATTTCAATCCTAACTCTAACAGCTATTACATTTATAAACTCTGGCAAATTCCTTTATTTTTCTGGACTTCAGCTTCCTTGATAGAGGTAATAATTATGACCACCTGACTTATTCTGAGGATTGAGCTAAAAGAAGTACTTAGGATAATCTAAATTCATCAGCTATATTGTAGCTTAGCTCTAGTGTAAGTGCTTAATAAACATTAGGTAGCATTACTTCATGTCAATTTTCTCATTTAGCGCTTCTGTCATACCTTTGGGATATTATTACTGTCACCCTATGGGTGAGGCAACTTAGGCACGTACTCTACTCAAAGTCCCACAGAAGTAAAGCAGAATTTGAGTGTAGAACCACCCACACATTTTTCTACCTAATACTTCACCTGGTCCCCACAGTTCTCACTCTTACATCATTATAGCATTTATCAAAATGTAAATTGATCTTTCATCCTCTAAAGAAACTATACGATGACAGGAATAGATACCACCATTCCTTAGTCCACCCAAGGCCACCCATCCGTATTTCAGAGCCTGTTAGACGCCACTCACGTCACATGTTGCAGCATCGCGCTGAGTCAAAAGAACAGGGTCTCTGTCCTCATGGATCTCACAGTCTACCAGAAAAGACACGTAATCAGGAGATATATACTTTACAGACTTTTAGAGTTGTAATAAAGGAAAGGAACAGCGTGCTAGGAAGGGCATAAGAGATGATCATTGGAGGGAGTTAAAACAGGGCCTTCTAAAAGAAGGGACCCTGCAGAATAGGAGTCAGCCAGGCAAACAGATGGGCAAGAGAAACCACTGGAGCACAGGATTCTAAGAAGAGACCTCACTTTGCATGTGAAGAAGGAAAAAGGCTACATGGCCCGGAAGAGCCAGTGTGGCTGGCAAATCATGAGCTCAGGCATGAGAAGAGAAGAGGTGAGTGATTAGAGCACACAGAAGCAGCATGGACTTGTGAGCTTATCGTCAGTTCACTAAGAATTCCAGCTGTTTTTTTCAGAAAGGTCACCCTAGCTTTGGTGTGGATACCACCCTGGACAAAGAGAAAGCTGGGAAGTCCAGTGGAAAGCTGGAACAGTCTGTCATGGAAACTGTGATCTGGTTTGGGACTACAAGGGTAGCAGGGAGGGTAAGGAGATTTGTACAGATGAAATAACAGGAACTCAGCAATTTGTTCACTCAATGAATGAATGATTCCTCAAGCAGTGCTGCTGCTGGTTCTAAAGGCAATCACTAACCCACAGGCATAACCTCTTCCTGAGCAGTATAATCATCCAGGGGGCATGGGAAACACAGGGAGATGCTGAGGAAATAATTACGAGATTCATAAACCAGCTGGCAAAACTCCGCTTATGAAAACCTCTTGATGTGTAAAAGGTACCTTTGTGAAACAAAATGCCTCTCTCATTCTGACAATGGAAAATTTTAGAAGCCAGGTATCCTTCTACTATGTGACTTTCCAAGCTTGTTAGAGAAATGTATTATTTAAAATAGCCTGGAGCTATGCTGCTAGAAACACAGTAAAACACTAAGGGTTCTGAAAGACAGCCCTTTCATTTAAGGGGAAAAAAGAAAGCCATGATTGGAAAGAGAATCTATATTCATCCTTCTACCTTCCTTCTGGTGAAAACATGGTCACTGTCATGACTTCCTAAAACAGCCATACATTGTAATTACCTGGTAGCAACAAATTCACAGAGTCAATATATTTTTTACAAACAGAAATTCACAAGGTCACAATACAGTTCCTTGGCCATGTTATTTAATCATTTCAACCTTTGTCCATAAGATACTTCTTTTGCTAAAACTATAAAATGAAAACCCTTTGGAAAATACAAATGTTTGCCCATGTGGATATGAGAACATAGGAATCAATTATAGTGAACTGAATTCAAAATCTCATTGTTAATGCTAACACCTCTCAAGAGGTGTTTTCCATCCTTAAACAGACCAACACTACTATTAATGAGGTAAAACAGAGAGTCAAGATTACTTAGGTATCAGTGGCTTTCTTGCTAGCATTAAATTAAACTAAGATACTTGATAACTTCTCAATAATTAAAGCTTTAATTGGTGCTACTTAAAACAGTATATTGGCCTGGCTAGGGTGATCAGTTCAAGGGTCTGGGAGCACATACAAAGCTTAATTTTGCATAGAAGGAGTCTCACTGGTAAAAGATTCCATTTCAAGGTTCACCAAAACATCTTGAGCAGCTTTGATACAAAGGCCAACTACCAGCTCTCCATCACCGCTTTTAAAGAAGTTCAAAATGCAGGTGGTAGAGAGACCTGGAGAATAAAAAGAGCTAAACTAGATTTCTATGTGAGGAGCTTTAAAAGCTTACTGCACAATTTGTCTTCTTCCATTTCAGAAACCTCTTTCCCCTGTACTGAAAATAAAGCTTTCTGTGGCACTCTCTGTACCTTTAGAATGTCTTTGGAGTCTTGAAAATGTGTTCTCTGCAGAATCAGAAAGTGCTACATGAGAACATCACATAATGCTTTGGTCTTCTTACTCTAAGAACTATTTTAAAGAATCTTGGTGACCACAGCAGATGAGAAAAGATCTTGGAAACTTAAAGAAGTTTAAAGTTGAACAAGGGTATAAAAATTTTTCATCTATTCTTTATTACCCAAGACAACAAGACTGCATCTTATTAAAAATTCATACTTTAGCGGCATACCAGCAAATCATTAGTGTACTACAGTGACATAATAAAAGAGAAATGATTATCAAACTTATGATAGTCTCATTTAATTATGCTCTTTTATCTCTTGGTTGGCACCAGTAAAACTAGTATAAAATTATCGTCATTGATAAGAAAAGTCATTTATTCTACCATGGAAAATAAAAACTTGCACATAACCTAGTATAACTACTAATTATAAAAAAATTAGAAAGCAGCGTAGTTTAAATGCAACAGTTTATACAAATTTACTAATGAAATCTTAGACAATACTCAGTTAAATTCTATGCAAATCTACACATAAAATGTTATTTTCATTCACAGTATCATCTCATATAGTAGCTAAACTGAGTAAAAATGTGTATTTTCATTTTTGCTAAACAATCTAGAAAGGCCATTTAAAAAAAATTACAAATTGTCTACACATACACATGAAGGACCAATACTGTATATCTAAACTATAGAAATCAGTATTTTAATCAGTTCTAAGCCAATAATAGTTCTGAATACAAATAGTACAAGATGTAACAGTACATCACCCTTCACTTGAAAGCAAACCTTAAATTTTTGGACCATGTACTTGTCCAAGTTATTGGCCAGTTACTGTCCAAATAAAACTCCTTTGATGTCTTCTTAAATGGATGAAATTTACTTTCATTCCCTAGAGAAATGCTAGAGTATAGTGATATCTAAGACACACAGTTAAATTAGTTTAATTACTTCATGTCGACTTGATAAGTCACTACTATTTAATGCAAAAGCTGCCATTGGCAATTAATGACTGGTGGTACTGCTTCAATTGATCAAATGTCTAAAACACATAAAACATTGAAAGAAGTTCTGTATATCTTACAGCAATTCAGTAGAGAAGTCCTGTCCCAGGGGTATGTAAATCTGAAGTACAAGAAACCTCTGGATCAGCCCAACTAGAACAAGAGGGGGAAAATACATATTCAGAGGTTCAAACTATTTATATGCACATGTAAACAAATACAATCACCCACCATCAACAAGCTGAAGCTTCTGGCTTTTCAGAAATATACAGACCTGTAATACCACTATATGTAAGTTATAACCTCATCGTGAAAGTGAAAAATTGATGAAAATCAAATCAAACCCTAACAAGAAATGTTACCTTTTAAAGTGCCATCTGTGGCCTTGGTGAAATTTTTACGAAACTTAAAAAATAATAATATTTCATTTACTATTTTTTATTAGGCTGCAAGAGCATATACATACAACCTGCACTTAACAGAGACATATAAAATTGAACTACAGATTCCCATCAAGGCGGTCATAAAAACATGTGGCAATTATTTTGATTCGCTGACAGTTTTAACTATATACTAAACAATTTAATAAAAAATAGATCAAGAAAAACAACTCTAATTATGACAATGACAACAAAGTTTGATGAGTTGTGTGTGTTTCATATAGTTGTAAATGTGTTCACACTGAGATGGAAGAATATATTTTCATTTTTTTTCTTTGGTACTGGGAGCAGAACTCAGGCCCCTGCCCTTGCCAGGCAGGCACTGTGCCAATGAGCTGCATCCCTGGCCCTGTTTTCATTTATAATACCTTTGTTAGCTTAATACATTTTAACGCCAAGAAAGAACTAATAGCTTTTATTTCCTATTACTAGTGTCATCTAAATTAAAAACTATTTGGAGAAAAACTAATCCTTATTTTTTTTTTTAATGATACTGGGAATTACTGAGGTATACCATAGATCTTTCTCAACTTTTTTTTAAATTTTATTTTAAAGAGAGTAGTAAATGAGAGAAAAAAAAAATAGCAGCATTAGCATCACAAACATAAACAAACCAAAGCAAAAACATTTAAAGTGATACAGGGTTTCAAGACAAAATAATACGAATTAACAGTCGTTGTTATATTACATATTGTTATCTTCAACTACAATGCTCAGGTTACCAGATGTAAGAATGGAAGATTGTTCAAATTAACTTTCTGTTTTAAGACAAAAAGTTGTTTCTGTCTTGCTAAATTGCCCAGGCTAGGATCTAACTTGTGATCTCTTACCTCAGCCTCCCAGAGTGTTGGGATTACAAGTATATACCAGCTCCTATGGTACTTTTGATAAAGTCTACAATTGTTTTTTTAAAAAAGTCAATTTATTTCATATTAGCTATCCAGATCCATTCACAAAATGTCTTTTCTCTTGGGTTTTGAACTTTTGTTTGATTTCTCAATTATGATGCTCTCAACATATGTTTAAGTTCGGTTCCTGGTACCGGAAAAAAAACCAAAAAAAAAAAACCAAACAAACAAAAAAAAACCAAAAAAACATATGTTTAGCATCACATCTCCTAAAACATGCAATTAGGAGCTTTTTATTTTGATGCCTGGTAAATACATCTTCATGCTGTCCGTGAACCTGTATATAAGCCAGTGTAGGGGTCAACAGGTGGATAAAAGACTTCAAGGAAAGCAAGTTGTCTAAAATGATGCTATTTTCTATCTATCTTAATTTGCTTATCTATCTATCTTAATTTGCTATCTTAATTTCAAAGTTCAACTTAACCATTTTAAGTATTTTTAAGAAACAATACATTTTTTGTGGTGTATATAAAGACCTCCTGTTTACAATTCCTATGGCAAACTGTTTGGTAACATTCCTGAACCTAAACAGTCCTTATGTTTTATCTCAAACTTACATTTCTAAATAGCAAATATATTGACCAGATATGTTTAATAATAATATTTTAATCAAACATACAGGGGTAACTTTTATGTAGAAGTACTACACTTATAAATTGGTCCAGAGAGCCAACAGTAGAGAATATTAATATAAATATGGATATAATAGGTACTGGCTCTAGAAAATTCTCCAGAAATCTGATTTTGTGATATCAATGGGGATAGCCAGTGAAGCACGGAGAGTTCTGATCTATAGAGGCAAGTGAGACACCAAAATGAGTCCAACTTAAAGAAGCCATCATCAATAAATCTCTCTTGCACCTTGCAGATTGGTCCTGCAGTGTTTTTCTGTCACACGATGGCCTCTGTACAGACAGCTGTGAGATCACTAGGATAAATGAAATCAGTCTTTAGTAAAGGTCCCTAATTTATGTCAGCAGTCTCACTGATCAGTACAGTTCCCTTCAAGCACAAAGAGCTACACGTGTAGGGTATTTCTGTATGACTGTTTTTAGAAACAGCCTTCCTTCAGAGAAAGAGAGCTTTGTAATTCAGCTTCCTCACATACAGAAGCCCTAGGTTCCAAAAGGTTTCACTTCTAAAATTAAAATAAGTGTGATGATATGATACAGTGATGATCTGACAGAAAAAAGTACTTTAGTAACATTTGACAGACGGATAATGTGTGTCAGTCATGCTACATAAACACAGAAATAGTTTTTCTAGGGGCTTACTAAATTTAAACTGACTCTTCATGCCTACATTATATTTAAAGTCATTCTAAGTAATATTGAATGTGGAACTTCTGTTAACCAAAAAATGTCCATCAAGTACATAAAATATGTAAAACAATTTGTCTTTTTCTTCATTAAGGCAAATGACAGACTGGACACATCTGGTACACGTTACAAGAGTTACACTGCCCAGACAGCTGGAATGAGACCACATTACAGCCGTCCTTTACAAAAGCCCTGAAAATTACAAGCGAATTCATTCCATGACTATCACAGCCCTCGCACAAAGAGCGCACGGAAGTGTACCTCTTCCGTCTCAACACAAAATAAGCTAATTATGTCTGTGATTATGGACTACTCTGTATCTTGTGGTCCAATTAGTAACCCTCTCTAGGTCCTTTTAATTTTCATCTAAAAAACTGGACTAAAAATTTTGAATTATACCCCACAGAATCATTTGTACGTACTAAATCAGTCCTATCATTCAACAAAGATTTATTGAACACCTATTATGTATGAGATTCACTGAGAAGTCTTTGCAGTAAATAGATTTTTCAGTAAATAAGTTCTGTCCTCTTGGACTTACATTCTAGACCCACCAATCAGAAGGTCAAAGGTATGAAAGCATATAATGCTGGGCACTTGGTGGGGGAGGACGATCAGTACAAGTTTTCTCAAAGACGTAACCCTGGAATTCAGCTGAGCAGAGTAAGAGGAAGTGACAGGCAATGGGTTCAACAGTAGGAGAGAGGAACAAATATTGAAGATGGAAGGAATACTGCATTTCTGTGATGGAAAAGGATGCAGGAGGCAGAATGAACTTACAAGGGCTTAACAAGCTGGCAGGACACAGAAGAGGAGAAGCAGGAGAAGAGAAGTCAGAAGCCAATCATGTGGGGCCTCGCGGGCCATGTGAAGGACATGCATCACCTAAAATCGATGCGAAGCCATTCATTCAGTCATTGTTCAATGAAGATTTGCTTGAATGACTGCTACGATGCTGTCGCCATTGTAGGTCAAAAAACAGACTGAACAGTCTCTGGCACTAGTGCTGGCTTTGGTGATGGTGGGAAAACAACGCAGGAGCATAACAACCGCACAGCATGCTAACTGATTTAAGTAGAAGGTGCTGGAGGTGCAGTAGGGCAGCAGGGATCAAGAGCAGAGAAGGGAGATGAAGCGCAGGCTGTAACCTAAGTGTGGGTCAGGTGGGCCTCACGGAGGTGGCACACTACTAAATGCTTGGAGAAGGGCAGCGGGGAGCTGTGCAGCTCTTTGGGGAAAAAAGCTCTCCTCTGGCTGGTGGGGACAGCCTCTGCCTAGGTACTGACAGGGCACCAGGCCATGTCTCAAAACTGCAATGAGTCGTGCCTGGCTGAGCAGGGTAAGCAAGGGAAGGAGTAAGAGGAGGTAAGGTCAGTAAAGAGGGTACCAGGTACTTAACTGTCCTACAGACATTTGGTTTTTACTAAAAGAGGGATGGGGCATTTTCAGCAATGGAATAACATGATTTAAATGTTACTTAACAATTATAAAGTATTAATCTAGCTACTTGAACAGCAGACTGTGGTGTCTTAGGCTGACTCACGAACAGGAACACAACTGGAAGACAACTGCAGTCAAGCAAGCATGAGAAAGGTCCCTGGACCATGAAATAGTACTGGAGGTGCAAGAAGGGGTCAGACGCTTAATCTTCTTTAAAAATAGTGCCAAGAAGATCGTTTTGATGGACTGAATGGACTAAAGAAAAATAGAAGCCGATTTAAGAGTTTTGACTATGAGCAACTGAGAAGGGAAGTGGCTAACAGCTGAAATGAGGCAGCCTGCAGGAGGGGGAGGAGTTTTTAGGAGATCGAGACCAGGAGTTAGGCGCTGGAGACACTGCACAGAAGCTGTTGATACAGAAGTGTTAAGGAAGTGGGGACACACACGTCTGGAGTACAGCAGTTTGAGCTGGGTATGTAAACCACTGTAAGACAAGGTGGTACTGTATTTGAATCCAAGAGCCAAACTCAACAACCAAGGGCGTACATGCAGATAGAGAGTCAAGGGCCGGGGCACCGCAACAACATTCAGTTGTCTTGGAGACAAGAGGAAGAACCACGAAAGGACACTAAGAACGACCTATGAAGTAGGAAGAAATAGCAGGGTGGTCTTCCTGGAAGATGTATGTCAAGGAGATGTGAGCTCTGCAGTGGCTGCGGATACACAAAGTAAAATGAGAGCTGAGACCTTGCCCCTGGATTCAGGAACTACAGCAGTCACGACTGACTCTGACAAGAGCATGATCAGCAGAATGAAGAGAGCAGAATAAAGGATTTTAAACAAAGGAAGTCATGATTTTAAAAATACCAAAGTGGGGGTATGAGGCGGCCTCAGGGAGCCTCCTAAAGGCGATCTCATCCCCCGGAGCAGCTGAAACCTGGATCAGCAGAAGGCTTCAGGGAGGCCGACGGTCAGAGACACACCATTTGATTCAGATGCCAGAGGCAGGAAAAGCAATGGCTTCAAACAGTCCTGAAGACCTTCCAGACGCTAGATGCTCATGTGTGGCAGAGCTGCTTCTCCTATGGACAACTCCGTACAGCACAGTCCACGCTACAAAGCATACCTGATGCACGGTTCACTCAAGTCTCTTTGGGAAGGCCACATGGTGACAATGAGAAATTATAACCCAAACTGTCACAGTGTCTGTGGTAAACTTAACTTACTGAACATCAACTGTGCATCAGACACTAACTCAGAGGCACAAAGAAGATGACTCAAGATCTTTGCCCCGGAGAAGTGCACAACCTAATGATCATATCATATTCTTTTATTTGATGGATGCTGAATGAAAAAAGCTTTCATGTAGTTAGAAATCGTCAAATATAAGTTAAATTAGAAATACTGTTTATGAACAGCTGAACGTCCATAATTTCATTATTAAACTTTCTTCCTAAGTACCCAATAAAGTCAGAATCAACATGAAATACCTACTGTCAAGCTTACATAAATAAAATATATGCTTATTCTTAAAATAGGGAAACATAAAGGTAAATGAACTTAATTTAAAAACGGCAATTGAAAATATGACATTTAACTTACATTTAACTATACCAACCTCACAAAGGAGGTCATTTTAATACAAGTAAAAAATAGTTACACATTTCTGTTATCAAAAATTCCAAATAACTAATCTTTTTTTTTTGTTTTTTTTTCCGGTACTGGGAACCAAACTCACGACCTTGCGCTTGCCAGGCAGGCGCTTTTGCCGCTGAGCTAAATCCCCAGCCCTCCAAATAACTAATCTTAAAGGCAACAGTACAGGGTAAAATATATAAACTGTTTCATGTATTACAGTGCTGTGCTACAGAAAAGCAAGATTAATGTTTAATTACAGGGCATGCTACAAGAAATACATTAAAAGATTCTGCTTCTTGCAATTAAAAACAATCATCTTTCCATTTAAAAAGGTAATTATAATACATTAAACTTGGTTTCTGGGAAAAAAAACCTTAGATAAGTGCAGGAAAGGAGAGCCTGTATTTAATGTCTTAGCCTTTGGTAGAGGAGAAATGTTCCTCAGCGCCAAATGAGAAGTGAATGATTTTAACATGACCATGTGCATAGGTGCCGGGGGCATTCAATGTAAGTCCAGGTAGGCTTTGTAAGTACAACAATAAGAATCAAAAGAACTGTTACCTGTCTCACCAAGTCAACATCCTGAAAAGAATGGGCTGTGTTTCTTCTAACAATAAAGTACAGTTTCAGACGTTTGCCCTTAGCTTATCTTTTTAATTCACTTCATTTGTAAGTATAAATTCTTGTGGAAATGAAAAATAATCTTGCCATTAAACATACACGTGCACGCACAAACACACATACACACACACACACACACACGAACTATGAGGAATTTCTTCCAAATTCTATTTCTTATGTTAATTTAGAAAGAAGCAGTGGCAGCTGGGCATGGTAGCGCATGCCTGTAATCCTATCACTCTGGGAGGCTGAGGCAGGATGACTATAAGTTCAAATCCACCCCTGGCCGCTTACAAACTTAGTGACGCCTTGTCTCAAAAAAAAAAAAAAAATGTCTGGACTGGGGATGTAGATTAGCTCAAGGGCCTTGATTCAATGCTCAATACTGAAAAGAAAACAAACCCTAAAAACAAACAAACGAACAAACCCTGGCATATCACTTTAAAGCAAATCATCTCCTCTCTATAACTTCTATGACTTGGTTTATGGTCTTAGAAATCTAAAACACACATGTAGCAGCTAGAAATGGTACATAAAGCACAGAGTCTATGTACATTTAGAAAACTCAGTTAAAATAAGAAAATTAGGTACCAACAACAGGTCTTTTCATAGTGCCTGGTGCACAACAGGTATTCAGTGAATTATTAAATGAGAGGAGGGCTAAGTAAATGATAAATGTACAAAATAACTGTCTACTTATATTTGCTAAGTCATCTGAACTCTACATTGAAAACATGACACAGCTCAGGGAAAATATGATTAATCATTTTGATAAATTATATTTCTTAAATCAACATCAAGTTTATTCAAAGCTTAATCTGGTGGCAGAACCTTGAATTTTAACTTTATCTCTGCCAACATGGGGCTTCTGATCACAAATTCAGGTGAACTCTCAAGAGTTTCTTCTGCTTTAAAATGCTAATGCTAATTTCCAACTGAACTGAGAACTGAAATCAACTCTAGGCTTTTGTTCATTCACATAATCATACATGTACTTACTAGTTATTAATATCCTTAAAGGATATGAGTTACTGTTACCAGAAGGTCTTACACAGTATTTTTGATAAATTTTTTCTCATCAATTATTTTCCTATAATTAGGAATTCCTGAGTCTATTTCAAAACTTATACTCAACTGTCTTATTTATTTATTTAGCCTTACTGGGACTTGAACTCATGGCCTCTGCATTGTGCCAAATCCTCAGCCACTCTTTTTTTTTGAGATGGAGTCTTGCTAAGTTGTCCAGGCTGGGTTCGAACTTGCAGTTTTCTGCCTCAGCGTGCACTGTGTTGGTTTACAGGTGCTACACTATGTCCGCCTACTTGATTTCTTTTTTTTCTTGTTTTTCTTCCGGTACCAGGAATCGAACTCACGACCTTGCGCTTGCCAGGCAGGTGCTTTGCCGCTGAGCTAAATTCCCAGACCCTTACTTGATTTCTTAATAAGGAACCAACCTCAGCTTGCTCATATGTAAAAGAGCTACTGTGAGGATTAGGAAAGTTAATAATACAAAAGGCTTAGAAAGTTCTTGGTCAGAGTTAGTGCTTGATAAATACTATTATCATGACACTTAACGGCTAATAAGTAATCTTCTAAATCTTAAAAATATTTCTCGGTTCCTAGTAGATAGAAAGGCAGAATAGTATATTTTTTAAAGGTTTAGCACAGTGGCTGACATAGTTTCTACATTAAAAAGAAATCACGTCTCTTCCCATCGACAGATGCCATACTAATACTGTATACCTGTTTATAAGCTATAAATGCATAACGTTATCAAAGTTTCAAAGTTAAGAAATTTACTTACGGATTTGCTTATTCTCCTTTGGTAACTGAATCTTATTTGTTTGGCTGCTGCCTTCCAGAACAAACACAAAACTTTTAACTTCTTTATCAAACTCCTAGAGAACAAAATGAAAACAGGTAACTGCAGTGTATTTTATTTAGCTTCTTCTACAAAATTGAAATTGCAAATCCAGAGACAAAGTGTCGCATATCCAAATGACTCAGAAGTAGGGTTAGGCCTTGAAGACACTCCTTCCCTGAGGCTTGCTGGGTATTGGAATACAAGAGCCGTACAAAGCCACTTGGTAGCCCTCCTAAGGTGGCAAAAAGTCTTCCAAATGCTAAGAAGTTCCCAAGTCACTCATTTAGAGTTTCCAGAATTTAGCTGCCACTCTTCCCCTTTAACCTGTGTATTTCTGCCTAACAGCGCAGGGCTGAGCATCACTTCCTGTCATGGTGAAGAGACCACCAAGCCTACATTGTATCCATCTGGAATTTCCTTGATTTCAGACCATGGCTCCAACAGAATTAATCACATTATTTTGCACCTGCTATAACTAAGACATTCTATATATCATTTACTCAAATCAACATGAATTAAATGTTACAGCTAAGGTTACCTAAAAAGCTAAGGTGGGAAAAACAGGAAAGAAAAATCTGGCAGTGGAAAATATGACATACATAAGAGGCCAATTTCCATCGAAGCTCTAACGCGAATGGTTATTATCTTAGGCAAATCCTCTATTTCTGAGTATAAAGGCACCTGTTTCACATTTTCACAAATTCTCCAAGTCTTCAGCATTATACCTGGGCTTTTTGTACATATTAACAAATGTACTATAGCTAATAGCTGCTAAAAATTAAGTAACAAATAAATTTCTATCATATCCATTATAATAGCACCTCTCTGTATTTGAAATGAACACGTGTATTATGTGAATTTTTTATTCTACCTATGCACAAGCTGGACATACATTTAAACATTGTAACAGCTTACTAAAACCTTCAACATGGTAATAAACTACTGCATACTCTGGTCCCATCTCCTACCTTGTATTCTCCCTCACTCTCTTCACCTTGGCCTCAACAGCTTTCTTTCAGTTTCTTGAAAATTCCAAGCTCTCTCCTGATAGAAGGATGCCGTATATGCTATTCCCTCAGTCCAAAATGTTCTTCTGTCTACTGCTCCCCTCTGACTAGCTGACTCTTACAACCTGGGTATGGTGGCACACACTTGTAATCCCAGCACTCTGGGAGGCTGAGGCAGAAGCACTCCCAAGTTTTAGGCCAGCCTGGGCAATTTAGCAACTTAGCAAGACCCTATCTCAAAATAAAAATATTAAAATAGAGGTAGGAGTTGGGGAAGGTACTCAGCGTGAAGGATCTGGGTTTGATCCCCAGTACTACGAAAAAAAGAAGAAAAAAGTTAACTCATACAATTCAAACATCATTTCCTTGGGAAGCCCTTCCTGCTATATACCCCTGCAGTCCCACCATCTCGCACTCACAGTAACAGCTATGCAATTTTGAGCTTATCCTCTCCAAGGCTCAAATTTGTGGCCTACCTACCAGATAGGTATATAGCCACCTATCTCACAAAGGAGTAGTGTTTCAATTACTATACAGAGAAGTATATTACATAACATCAGAGAGCGTGACAAAGAATGTAACGTTATGCTCGCACACAGTGAGCACTCAATTAATAGCAGCTTTAAAAATTACCTAAGGAACAAGGTCCCTAAAAAGGCATTCTTGGTTAAACAGGAAAAGCAAGACATAGAAAGGATAGGGGCGAATACAGGTTTTTTAACCTAGTGGCAGTAAGCTGATGGCAGTTTTTCCTGCGAGTAGTCATGAGCTCTCCCGGTGAGTGAGGAGGGCTTGTCCTGGATGTAGGGTAGGAAGTAACAGGATGGAGTTAGACAGTTAGAAAGCTGAAGATAATGGAGAAACAACTATTTTGAAGACTAAAAGAATGCAACAGGATAACTCTCTGGGCTATTCAGGCTGACTGTATAGTGTAACCAATCTAATAGGCTGTAGCTATCTTATCCAGAAGTACTGAAGAGACAGAGAGAGGCAAAGAAAAAATTGAGGATTCAGAAAGGGTTGGGTCAGCAGGTACAACGAAAGGACAAGAGTGACAGCACCCAGGGTCTTGACCAGACAGTAACTGAAATTAGAATTTGGCTTCTGGGTTGATGGATACTGCAGCAGAGCGGATGGAAGAGGTCATTAAAGATGAGGAAATCAAGAAACTGAGACGCTCAGGATTTAGACAGACTTTCCTCTGTGACACTGAAGTCACCCAAAATGATAGAGGACCTGGAATACAGCAAAAAGTATGAACTACATCAAAGTCTTTTAAACAACGGATGAATGGCATCTGGGAGGGCTGCAGCCAACAATGCCACAAAAGGGTATCCAAGTGAAAGAACAGGAAAAACAGCTGAAATCTGATCAACCCCTTTTTTCTGTAATCTACATTCCCATTTCCTGCCATGGTTTAGGTGGCTGTTGTATCAGAAACTTACTTTCCAAATCACAGACGGACTGCCAAGGATCTTCCATTTTGCTCCAGGGTTTTTTCCCTGAGCACTGAAGATTTCAACAAATGCACCTCCCTAGAAAACGAGAACAAGGTGTTTAAATTAAAGTGCAATACAGTGTTAAGAAGGAAACACCACAGAGTCTAAATCCAGTGTTCCAGCCATCTGTCGGTCAAGTAGATCTGGGAGGAAACACTACGCCTCTCATCACTCTGTCTTTGTACCTTGATTATATCTAAACCACAAACATTCTGGTTTGGGTGGCCTTGGATTAATGGTCTAAGGAAGTTACTTTTAAAGCATGAGAAACTTTAGATAAATTATGCCATATAAACACTACTATTTTATATGGGCTCACCTACTTGACATGTACGATCAGGCTTCCAAAACATTTTATGGAACCCAGACTAAAAGGCTGAAACGCAATTAATGAACTAAGCCAACAAATTCTTATAGTTACCTGTGAATACAAACTTCCTGGTAATACTGACCAGTGCTCTAACACTGACTTAACTATTTGACCCTGGAGGTACTCAATTTCCTGATTCTCCACCTATAAAATGGGTTATCGGATTACAAAGGATAGTAAACATAACATAGCAAGAACAGTGCCATCAAATATTATTTTTAAAAAAGGGAAAATTAGTTTAGTACTGGCTAACAAAAAGGCTTGGGAGGGATTCAGAGATTCTTATTTTGAGCATTCCATAATATTTATTTAATACAAAGCAATTTGGAGATATATAAGAAAAACAATAATCTGTACAAGGAAAAGAAAGAATCATTTCTAAAGGCAGACTACTTATTCTCCATTGTAAGCCCAAGAACAAGAGATATGCTTTTATAAGAAAATCACTAAATATATCATCAAATATTCATACTCTTTAATTATAAAAAGGGGAATTAAATAAGATGATCACCGAGAAAGTACTGCCCAAACTGAGAATCTGAGACAAAGATGAAATGTGGTTTGAATTATAAGCAGCAATGAAAGTAATTTTTGTGAAGAATTTCCAGCTTTTAATTTTTTCTAAACACGAAGATATTTTAGCTTCTGAGTTTTAACACATAATCACGGAGACATTTAATTTCTCTTCGTTAGGCAGTATTACGCATATAGGACAGAATTATTACAGCTTTTATGAGCGGGTCAAATTTCACTATGAATTTTAAACTTGAGACAGCTTGGTTTTTCAAAGAGAAAACCCTTCACATTCAGTGAAATAGCAAACTCCTTCTCCCTACTTCTCTTCACTTTCCCATGTTTTCCAAGTTTGTTTCCTGCAATGGGCTTGTGCTTTTTAACAGATACTTTACTTACATGAAGTGTGACAAATTCTCTACATTTGCCTTAACCCATTTAATTATAATACTGCGGGGTATAAAAAAGAAAACTGCAGCCTACGCTAAGGCCATCAGGGTTTGGTGAAAAGGCAGAAGCAAAAGAGAGAAGGCCAGGGGAGGGCTGTTTAAGGCCAGTGAGAAAGCTCCGAAGGACAGGACAGTAAACAGAAGTGTAACCTCAAGTACAGGTATAGGGCAGGGCTGGAGGCGCCCACTGAGGGGAAGAAGTTAGCTAGGCAAGGAGACACTCTTGGTATTCCAGGTGACTAAGGCTCACCCAGAAACAAGGCTCCTCCAGACGTGATTCTTGGCCCACCAGGAAGAGAATCACTTGAGGGAAGTTGTTAAACAGGTAGATTAACCACCCCAAGTCTACTGAGGTCCTGATTCACTAGAAAGATCAGGAGTTCTGCATGTTTACAAACAACTCCCAAGGGATCCTGATACACCCCAGCGCCTGAGAGTCACTGAACCCCGGTTTTGGAAGAATGGTTGATAGTCACAGGGTCTACTGATGACCGGGGTTTAATCCGTTCATGCATTCACTCACTTCTAATTTGCTCCTGAGATACCAAGTGGCATCACAACAGGGAGATGGAGCTTTTCTTAAACGGGAAGGGACCAAGACATAGAGGGAAAGAACAGTGAAAGAATTGAGATGTGTTATGTACAGCTACCATCTCCCCAGATGAGTGTAATCATCACGATCTGCGAACGTGTACTAATTAAAATGAAAGAAAAAAAAAAACAACCCTCAAAACCACTAAGCCGCGCCCCGGACACCGTGGTCCAGGCGGTCTGGCAGGATGTAAGTCTGCGTTTTGGTCGGAATCAGAGCACTGACCTGCAGCGTGACAGGAGTCAAGCTGCCCGTCCCTGGTTGCTTTCTTTCTTTAATTTTCCCCCTTTCTCTGTCAAAGTCACTCCACCACGAACTGCTTCTCACCCCCCACCGGGGTCGGGCGACTCAGGGGGCTCGGTCCCACCGACCCCCGGCCCCGTCCCCGGGGAGGCGGCCGGGGTTACCTGGTACTCATTTTTGAACATTCCCGCCGGGGCCCGGGGCGTGGGC